ATTTAATTTTGGTAATCATCAATTTAATATTAAATTCGTTATTATAATTTTTTAATTTTAATATTAATTTTTATTACTAATCTTTGATAATAGGAAAAAATATTATTTTTTAACATAAATTATTTTTTCCTTTTATTTTTTTATGTTGTTTCAATATTAATTAAATAATATTTATGTTCTTTATTTAATTTAAATATTTTTTTATTTTTATTTTTTATTTTTATTATTAATTTTGATAATAGAGAAAAAATTTCCTTTTTCATTAATTTTTTAACCTAAATTATTTTTTCCTTATATTTTGGTATGTTGTTTTTAATTAAACACTATTTCTATTCATTATTTAATTTTCATAATTTTAACTTTAATGTTAATTTAAATTTTTATTATTAATTTTTATAATAGGGAAAAAATTCCTTTTTTATTCATTTTTAACCTAAATTATTTTTTCTTTTATTTTTGCATCTTGTTTCAATTTTAATTAAATAATATTTATATTCATCTTGTAATTTTTATAATATTTTAAAATTTGAATTAATATTTCTTAACTTAAAAATATTAACCAAAAAAATATAATATATATATAAAAAAATAACAAAAAAATTATAAAAACATAAAATAAATTAAACAAAACGTAAATGAAAAATTAAATAAAGAATAAAAATATAATTTTAAATTGAAATTTTAAATTATTAATCAATGTAAAAGGAAAAAAAAGTGGGCTAACTGTTAAAGTTGGCCCACTAACAGTCAACCCACTGACTGTTAACAGTCAGCCCAGACTGTTTTCCCGACCGTTAAACAGTCGGTAGACTGTTAACAGCCGTCTGTTTAACAGTTAGTCATTTTTTCATCGAAAATCGCAATTTCTGATGAGAAAAACTCATTTTCACCCACAAAAAATCTAAATCTACTCATATAATCAACAATCTATCCTAAATAACGAACAATAAATTGAAAAATATTAAGTTTAATGTTCACACCTTTATATTAATAATAAAAAATCATAAAATGATCAACCAACAACCCAAAACACAAGAAGAAGAAGTTCGTCAGCGACTAGGTTGTTGATGAAGGTGTTGATTGGGGACCCATCTCCGATCGACACGATCTGATTGTGGTGTGGTTTTTTTTCTTTCTTTTTTCTTTTTTTTACGTGTTAGTCATTTTTTGGCATAAGAAGACAAATGAAAAGTAAAAGAGAAGGAGGGTATTTTTGGGTTTTGATCTTTAAATTCAATTTTTTATCTATTTTAAATTTTTTTTTTTTTAATAAAAGCAGTCAAAGGTCACTTTGGAAATACCCATGAGCTAGGGAGTCATTTCCAATGATTTCCTCGGTTATGGAGGTCGTTGAACTTTTTAAAAAAATTTTGAAAATATAAATTTAATATTTTGTGCAATGTATTAGGTTGTATTAATTTTCATCATCCAGATCTCCAATTAGACCGTTTGGCCCCATTATTTCACCTTATAGTGAGAGGAATAGTAATTAATTGAAAATTTGTAGTTAAAAAAAGAAGAAATTTTTTTGGTTCTTTTTTTGGATTTACGTATAATATTATTTTATTAGAGAATATGTGGTTAATAAGAAGAAGGAAAAAAAAGAATTATAATTTAATGGGAATAATGGGACCAAACCGGGGCTAAATTGCAAGATTGAAAAGTTATTATCTGTTTTAATAGTAATTAGTGAGGACTAATATTGCTCGTCGTTTAATCAATCAAGAGCACAAAATTAATTATAAGCATCTTTTGAACTCACCCAAATAGACTATGCAGCGATAAATGCATGGATAGGGATCATCATCACGAACACAAGACATACCATCAGAAAATTAAGAATTCAGAGGCAATAACATACTTAATTACTGTATAAGTTATAATTAAAATTAAGCTAAGTAATTATTAAACAAAGATAAAGAAAAAAAAAACTTTTGATTTTCACTTGAATTGTTTATTAATTAAAAAGAAATGAAAAAATATTAAAGATGCTAACTTTGTTTTCCTTTTTTGTTTTGAATGTCGTTCAGACCTTCTTATCCATCTGTGTCTGTTAAAAAAAAAATTTAATTTTTTTGTTTCAAAAACCAAAGATTAATATATAGAAATAATTGCATGCATGCAAGCGAAAAATTATATGAAGTTCATCTATATTTTTCAAATTTTCAACAAAAATATAATTCTCAAAATCATAATTACCCAAATTAATCAATAAATCATTTATTCATGAACAGAGAAAGATATTTTTTGTTAGGCTAGGGTGGGTTTTTTGTTAGACTTATTTCCTTGTTAAGTTTTGGTGATTGAGCATTTTGTTGGGTTGAACTTCAAAACAGAAAAAATATCACTTATCAAACAAAAAAGTAGCACGTAGATAAGCATTTTAGAACACTACCTTTTAGAACTATACATCTTTACTAAGAAAGATAACTAGTCTATGTGAAAGAATTCATTGCCATATTATTTAATGAATATAAATGCATTCAAGTTTCATTAAGGGTTGAGACTATTCATCTTTATTGGAGTGCGACCTCCTTTCCAAGATCCTCGAGGGTTGCACGCATTCAACAAAGTGGCCTCTCTTATTCACAATGTAGTCAATAGTGCTTGCCATATTTGGACAATCATTGTATAATGGCCATAGGTTCAGTGGAGCCTCTAGTAGTTGGCTGGGGATACTTGATTCTGAGGTAGATTGGGGTTTGTTAATTCTAGCTTCATAGTATGTTGGCTAGCTCGATTCTATCCCTTGGTCATACCAACTAGTCATTGGTAGATGGATTCTTGTTCTAAACATCCATCCAAAATAGTGTTAATGTTTAGTCCTCTCTTGAGGATGGATATAGCCTTTGTATTCGAGATGTCCTTACGGTTGATCATCTCGTTGGTCAAGCGAGTCATGTATCTTTTTGGCAACTCTCTCACTGCTTGCCCTCATATATTGGAGGTGTTGCATGGGAGTTGTTCCTGGCTTAGAGAAAAAAATAATAATAAAAAACAAAAAATAAAAAAAATGGAGGAATTGCCTCTATAGCTCAAGCCAACTTCTGATGCTCCCTAAGTAGAGCTTGATATACCACCTCTACACCCCTCTGATTAAGTTTGGTAGAAAGCTCTACATTTCAATGCCAATGAGGTCCATCTTAGGCCCATCTACATCTTGACAGTGTTGATATGGTCCTCATAGTCAGCTCTCCTCTCATATCGATGGATTTTTAGCATCAATAAGCTAGGTGATAAGCGTATTTTTGTACACTCGTTTAATACCTAAATAAGCTAATTATTGATTAAATTGAAGCAAATTTCGATCACAATTATGTAATTATGCATTTTTGTATGCAAAAATCACAATCCAAAAGGGAACAAACACAATGGAAGAGAAAATGGACCAAAATCATGCAAAAAGTAAAGTTGGGACCAAATTGCACAAGACGGATAGTTGAAGGACTTGAGGTCTGAGGATGTACTTTTTGGAGGGCATGATCGAAATGAAAGTCAAAATATGAGAAAGAAAAGCTTAGTGATCAGATGTGCAAATTGCTAGAGAATTAATGTACAAAAAGAAGAAGAAATGAAACATGGAAACAAAGTTTTTGGGCAGAAGGTTGACGCATAGGCGCCGCATTACAGTGCCAAGGCGCTACTTATATATTTTTGAAAAAAAAAATAAAAAAAAAAATATATATATATATAACATTGGGATCATTTTAATATATTTCCCAAACTTGGGATGCAAGTTTTCTAAGGTTTTAATACTAAAAACAGCCAGCAACTAGGTTGGTCTTCTTCTTTCTTGTCTTTGGTTTTCTATTTTTCATTTTCTCTTCTTTTTCTCTCCACAAATTCTTGACATGT